CATCGGCCCCGAAGCTGATGAATGTTTTCGCGAAGATCAAACTCCGTTTACGCCCACGTCAAAATAACTCGTATTGTCTGGTCAAACTTTGATACATCCCCTTTATTATGTTGATCCGTCCAATCTTATGTTTTGCATATGTCTATCTATATTTGTAGTCCTTGAACTATTTCCTTTTATTGTAATCCTGCTCTCAGTTATCATCGGCCTCCGAACTAATCATAAACTTCCCGTTCCTAGTCAAGCTTATTGTTAATACCGTGTTCCACCCTTCTCCCCATTAGTATTTTCCAGACACCTGTTACTTGTATATGAACCCGCTATAGTTGTAGTCACTAGGAAATCAGAATATCAACTCAGAATACCTTCATACGCCTGTATCAGTCTCATACTAAGAATCCCCCCATCCGCCTTCACGTGCGCTCGCCCACTCCCGGCCCCGACCCCTTGGCCCGACGCTCGACTTGTCCTTCGATTCCGATCGGTATCATGCCGAAAGGTACTCATTAGGATTAGTCTTCGCCCGCCTGAAATTTAAGGACATCCTACAGATATTTGCGAGGGTGCAGCACATAAGCTGAAGCCAAGTCCTTCCGATCGGTCCCTGTCGGCCACCGACATTAGTCAGTTTTCAGTTCTTAACAAGGTCTAAGACTGTAGATCCATTTGTTAGATTTTGTGGGTTTGTAATACACTTGACTTGGTTTGGATATAAAGAACATGTTGCAAACATATGAAGTGTATAGTACAACTACCTAGTTTTAAGTACCTACTACCAGTAATACTATACCCAGTTACCCATCAATCACATGCTACATTGTTTGCAAACCCAAAAAATCTAATACCATTCTTGTCCCAAAATGAAACTATAACCATCTTTGAACAATTGTGTTGAATTAAGAAGTTGTACTTTAATTTCTGGAGTCCATTCTACATTCAACAGTTGCCAAAATTCAGGGCAATAATCAGCTACCTTGAATTTCAAGGTCCCAATGTCCTTGGCTTGAATATATGCTCAATTAGCCTCCAAATGTTTCTCATCAGAGTATACATATGCCTTAAAACCATCCAAATATTGTATATTCAGCACATACTGCCCAGAACTGCTGAATCCAGAAAATAATGTTGCTGGGAGCCATCTTTTCTCAGAAAATATGTAGATTCAATGACTGTAAACATGCCGTACTTATTGTGGGGACCTGAATGCATCTCTGCATCTCCTTGGGTCATCCATCAGGAAAGTGGGAAGATCAGTAAGTATGCCATCTATATTATCAAGAGCCAGAGCTAGCTAGCTCGGCTAGACACGGCTAGACACACTACTTTCATGAGATCCCTATTTACTAGTTGGTATACAAGCTTACTATAGATCTAGGCAGGCTAGGGAGTCTACATAATGGGTGTAGACATTCCCAAATCCCTGATGTCATTTACCATAATTACTACCCTCGGTTTGCCTTCAATGCCCAACATACTTTAGCGATAGGCTCTTTTCTTTCAAAGCTCCCAAGCCTCTTCAATTTATAGCTCCTCCGGGTTAGGGGCTCCCAAATCTGCGTGTAGCGGGCAGGTAAGTTCCCCGGTGACAAGTTTCCCTTGATTTAATGATTCGAGTACGGTTCATACTTGCATGCTATGTGAAATTTGTTTTTTTTCAGCTTGGGGAAGCCTTTATGAGCACTCCCAGTACTAATTTAATAATCTTTAATTTTCTCGAGAGTGATCATAATGAATATACAAATTGAACTGGTAAACTAAAACCCGGGGTCAGTTATACATAGGACCGGGGCCCATGCTTTCTGCTTCCTTTTTCTCCTCCTCTGGGCTTTTCGCGGATATCTGCCACCATGACAGTGAGATGGAAACCTTTCCTGACCCTCTTCCTGTGGAAATGTTAGGAAGATTAGGAAAATGAATGTATCCTATGAGTTTGTGCATATGACTGTGTCGGCGCTGTTGGACGTGTTGGACTTTGAGAGATCACCGTAGGATGATTTAAGTTGACGGTAAGAGGATGACTTTCAGTCAGTCGACGTAAGGACTGAGGAAGACGTCTTCAGAAGAATCACGACAGTCTTGTTCGGCCGCCATGGTGCAGTGTTTAGCAAGGCTTAGGCTTTGGGAACAGCCTCAACTCGACGACATACCACGTCGAATGTGATGCGAGATAATATTTTCCCAACTATAGAAAGAAATGCAAAAGGCTAGTCAAATTCAATAGAGTGAATTCAACGCGTCAACAAAAACGCAAATCCTAAGTGTTTTTTTAGAGAACAAGTGCAAGAAGGCAAGACTTGAAGTTATAGGAGTAGCAATCTCTTTCTTAAATCATCCTTCGGATATCATACTTTGCGTTACTCTTCGAAGAATATTAAGCTGGGTCGAACATCGTTTAGGTAATTAGTACACGTTAGTCTAATGGAACAATTTGGTCACACCTCCGTCCGTGCATCTCCAAGATGGATAAGTAGTTGGTGTTGGAACTTGCCGAGACCCCCACAAATGGAGTCGCGAGCAGACAGAGGAGCGTATGTATTTCGTGCATCAAAAAGCTCAAGCTCGTCTCCAAACTCTCCTCATCAGGCATATAGACAATCCTAGAGAAGTCCAGGAAGTCGTGGAGAGCAGGGATTGGGCTATTGGCTCGCACTGACGTGCACGCAATTTCGGGTTCTGGAGATTGTGCAATTAACGAAGCTGAGCCCCTTATTAGCATCGAGGCGCAACCAAACAATGAAGGGGTTGGTTTTGGGTTCTGAATTAGCGTTCTCATGGCCGAAACATTTTGAGCCGACAGGTTCGCGATGGTGTAACTGTGGACTCACTGCAGCATTTTAACTCCGATGGAAACAATGTCATTAATTCGATCCATATTTTCTACCGTCAATGCGACGTCCTCAAACAATGCATGGAGTCTATCAACAATCCATACATAATCGATGTAGGGCAAAGGGGTGACACACGCAAATGAATCGATCTTGGTCTTTAAAACGTCAAGCGCGATATCTAATAGAGGTCCATAAATACTGCGGAGCCAAGGATCCTGAGTGAAACAGCAGGAGAAAATCGATATTTGCAGGTGAATCCGTTTCATGTGTCCAGGTTGGTTTCGATCGTATCTGCCTATTTCTCATTTCGGTCATTCTCCAAAAAGAGCAACGGTAAAACTTACGAAGTCATCCAAAATTTGAAATAGTTTTGAATGACATTGAGGTCCTCATGTGACAGGCCCCGTGCATCATGCACCTCCTCAATAATGGTGGTGAAACAACCAGTAACAATAGAATAATCTAAAGTGCTGAGGGTGGCAGCTGATGGGCTACAGAGATATTCCCCAAGGTGTGATATGAATTTCGAGGCGACAGCATAACTGTCACCAGGAAGTCGCGACCCTACCAGGGCAGTGAAGAGGAAAGGAACCATTTTAGCTGGTGCATCCTCAATATACGCCAAGAAATCGATTACATGCGCCATCTCTACTATGACTCTGCCGATCTTCGCCTCTTCACTAGTACCAAACCGGGAGATACAGGCGCCATATGTCCTCGTGAGAAGCCAACTCGCTAGGTATCGTATTTTACACGGGTAAGTAGGTCTTCATTAAAGTCATTTCAGCATGCAATGAATGGGCTTCATCAGAAGTGAACATGCCTCAAGAGATCCACCCCCTCTTTAACTATTATGCTCAATTGCAGCACAGTCAGCTGTTTGTTAAGTAGTCTACTCGCGGTCATTTCCTCGCGCGTGTACATGAGCGTTTGGGCAATTCTTTGGTACTCCTCCACACGTCGCGTGTATACCAAGCACTTTCCAACCAAAATGGATACCTTGGTAGCGTACAGCAGCTTCGTGCCGATCCGCTCTAATGCCAGACCACAAAAGTAACCGGGGCCGACTTCGACTTCCGTTGAATTACGAATAACGGGTTCCACCCACCCATTCATGGCGTCTCTCTCAGTTGCGGATATTCCTTTCTCAATTCCTGATGAAGCCAGCAAGCTTTGTGGCGGTTCTAGGCAAGTTGCCAAACCACGGCACTAAACGAAAAAAAAGTCCAACACATGAGAGTCAATTCTCGAAACAAAAGATTAACATACCAGTTGGTGAACCCATGAATCAAGTGCATCCTTGGTGATCGATACATGCTCGTTACGACCTGGTCTGTGGTAACAGAGGCCGTGACCCTCTACATTACACGCCCATTGTCTCTGGAGTATGCGCTGAAAATGACTTTCGAGGACTTCGATCCTTTGACATTCAAAAGAAGCAGGTGACATCAAGGGGGGTAGCTCTTCGACATCGACAGAGTGACAGGGCACTATTTCGTGGTCAGACATGGGGAACGTGAGATATAAAATTGGGGATGTCTCAAAAATGGCCAAGAGAACCGTTCACAACGTTCGTCAGGCTTCTTCCATTTATTTTTCCCACACCTTTTAATGTAGTTCAATTTTCCAATTAACAACATACGAGAGTCATAAATATTATATGATGGCGTTATGAGAACTGTACATGCAGAACACAATATATTAATGACCTGGGGCTCGGACTTTCATCCTGGTGTTCTTGTAGTATATCTGAGTAATTATTGACCAATCACAGCACGAGGTGGGAGCCTGGTGGCTTATGATCGAGCCAGATGAAAAATAGTGATTTCGCCAGCTTCCCTTTCTGTGTCGGAAAAATCCGAAAACCTTAATCATGCCGTGCTGAGATTTGGTCGCAAGCCCTTGACCAATCCTGAGCAGGCATTCAGCACGATCCTGGCCAGGCTTGGACAGGTCACGTCAGCTGCCTATAAACACGTTCGTGGTATCAACCGTTCCACTGGGCGTATTGATAACATAATAAATATTAGTGAATGTTCCTGTTGAATTGGAAATACAATATCTAGTGACTAAAGCACAAGGTTAATTAACCCTGCTACATAAAGAGGCATCAGTTGATTGTGACATGTAGAATATAATTAGTCTATCTCCCCTCAGCAATACTACCAAATAACGTCAGTAGCTCGGTGGTTGAAGCACTGGCATATATAGCCAACGTCCTTGGTTCAATCCCAAGCTGGGTCAATACTTCTCTATACTGTCAATAGTTCCCGATGACTCCATCACATTAATGAGTTAGCCACTCACCAATGCTATGACAAAAACCGGTAACGTTCATTCCCCGAGTGCGGCAACACTATTAGATCGCATGTCAGACTGGACCACCGCTTACATTATTTTTCCTTTTATCGTACGAGCGCATTTTTCACCCACACGCGTATATATATATACATGCGAAACTATGGAGTACAACCTCAGTCGTTTCCCTACAGCCTCATTAGGCAGCGACTGAGTCTTGGGCATTCGCTGCCTTTTTCTGTTCTAGCTCAGTCCAAACTCTGTCATGCTATGTAATGGGGCCCGCAGTTCGATATCCCACATCCCGAAATATTAGTAATTAGTCAGAATTTATTTAGTATAAAAGCCCGCCGGTATCTTACATAAGTGGTGAACGAAGTTCGCGAACTTATAGATTATATTCTCTTTTGACTACAGGTGAGTTAATTATTACATCTTATTTACCTTCAAGCAGAAAACGTGGTAGATTAAATATTTCTTGAAAACGGGAATTCAACGAGCCACTTACAAAGCTTAGTAATGCAAACTACGTCCAAGAGGGTGAGGTATTACAATTATACTACAAGACCTTTCTCAATACCTGCTTCGTTTAGCACACATGACCATCAACAAAAAACTCACCTATTATTATTATAATAACAAATATATTATTGACAACCACCCCGCCGCTTCGTACTATCATCACTATTTCAAGCAGTATTGACTACTACGTTGTTAGATTAATAAAAGGATGCATTGTTTTACCCGCTGAATCATATATATCGATATTATATTGCCACCAATTAATTGACGTTGAGTTGGGACTGTGACGGCGCGATCAATTCTTTGCCTCCATCGCCCCAGTTATGCTATCGGCCCCAGGCCTGGGTTTGGGTTTCTCTTTCACCCCTTTCCTACTTTCAGACAACACCGCTTCTTCAGTAATGGAGCGATAACCCCTTAGGTGATACAACAGAGTGTGACGAGGTAGAACGTTCTTAGACATGTTTAGTTGAGAAGAACCGGGTCAAGTGAAGGGCAGGAAAATCACGTGTTCGAAAAACATTATGGGTGCGCGAGGAGTAGAAGGAACCAAAAGGCCAAGAAGAAATGCGGGGATTGATCTACTACTTACATTCACAGCACCTGCTTGGAATGAAAAAATGAAAAATAGATATAAAAGCCGAAGGCGACGGATATAAGAATAACTAACTCCTGAAGAGTATCGTAGAAGAACGCATAATTTCTCAGGTTGCCTTTCAACTCCGGACGTCAAGCTAGGGATATCCTCCGGCCAAACGATTGAGGTGTCAACTCAACTCAAGAACCTTACTTCAAACCTTACTTCATCACCTTTCTCAACACTGCAGTCATCATAAATCGCTTTTGATGTTGGTTGCTTGTGGGAGGGCTTAGAGGTAAGGCTGTTGTTGTTTTTAGTGTTTTAATTATATATGTTTTTACCCCACTACCACCCGTCGGGATACACGGCGCATTTTTTCGGTTCCTAGCAGGGAAGATAGGACAGAAATCAATGACTCAGGGTGTCATTAGACCCCCCAAAAAAGTGCAGTGGTGAGTACAGCGGGAATTGGAGATGGGGATAACAGGTTGATTTGACGTTCTTGAACAGATTGTTCATGTTCTGTCTTTTTTCGTTATTCTTGACTTCAACTCTAACCAAAAGGCTATTCACGCGCTGTTTTATTTTAATGTAAAGAAGACAAAGTGAAGCGACGCGTTAGTCTACTCAATTAAGCCAACGATGAAAAAAAAGGCATCAATCGCTTCTACGCACCTCCTTATAGGCACTACCACCAAGCATAACGTCTTTCACGTAGAATTCATCTTCTCAACAGCTTTCACACCAATATTTTCTACGGTAACAGGCGCCCTCTTTCCACTCATCGAATCATTGATTGATCCACACCGGACTGTCATTGTGGCCTGCAGCGGGTGTTAGCCACCGGAATGAAAAGATACTTGGAATCCCATTGTCAATGGGATCACTGGTGGTCACACAAGTTGACAGGACCACGGTGTATAGTCTGGAACAGGACTGGATACAGGAAGTATAGCTACGGTGTCTGGAGAGAAGGGAAACATCCTGGGCTATATAAGTCATGGTAATGTGGCAATAGAACAAAAGAGGGAAACAAAGGAAACAAAGAACAAAGGGAACACATAACAAAGAGCGAACACATAATGGGAACAATGAGTGAAAGCGTAAGACTGAGGCGCCAGGCTTACAATACTCTGGGTCCCGCTTTCAGTGTACAAGTAAATTCAAAACCTCAGGAAGGAAAAGTAGGCAGTGCAGCAGTGCAAAAAGAGACATTTGGTTGATTTCCAGTTTTTGTACAAGTGCTTTTGAGCTTTGGGTTTTTTTTTTTCTTTTTTGGCCGGGGTCGTAGGCAAAGATATTGTTTTGCCATCTTTAATTTCCTGTTAATAAAAAAAAGTGAAGAAGCAAAGCATTAGTCAACCCAATCAATGTCATGGTCAAACAGTGAAAAAAAAATGTCTAGCGACTCGATGCACCTGCTTGCCGTCTTCCACTTTAACTTCATTTCCTTCCCATCCACATTCATTTAGGTCGAACATCATTCAGGAAATGAGTAAATATGTTAGTCATATGGAATAGTCTAGTCACAGGCCCATCCGTGCTTCTTCAAGAGGGATAACTAGTTTGTGTTGGAACTTAATGAGACCCTATGCCCCAAAATTGACTTTCGAGGATGGTGATCCATCGAGATTCCAGGGCAGCAGGCGACATCAATCGGAGTAGCTCTTCGACATGGTCAGGTTGATAGGGTACAAGCATCCTTGCCATCCCCCACTATGACATCCCATGACTGGGTACTACCTTGTCAGACATGGTGAAAGGCTCCTGTCTAATGCAGCCTTACATTGGCATTGGTCCAGAAATTGATAGGACCAAACTGTATTCCCTGAGAATGGTGAGTACAATACACGATGATGATGGTAAGTAAAAGTGATTGTCTAAAAGGGATACTATGTGCCTCTGTGATAATGTAATCAGTATGTTGTAAGCCACCAGGCTTACATATGGAGGGTGTTTATAATTACTATAATCTTAAATATTTACTAATAAAAGTCTTATTTTTTTAAAAACTCTATCTTTAAATAGTGATATCTATTCTGAAACAATTATATGATCAAAAAACAACCATCAGAAATAGTTCTCCATATTACATCTTAGGAGGTTGTCTATAATCATTATAATATCAGATGTTTACTGGTAAAATTTATATTTCTACAAAACTCCATCTTTAAATAGTGATATATCCTCTGAGACTATTATATTGTTAACCACCAACCATAAGAAACAATTCTCCATATTACATCCTAAACAATTCAGAGTCAATTAACAGAACCTATTGTATATGGTTTTCCAAGTTATGTAAATACTTTCTAATACTTTTGTTGTTAATTTGTTTTTTTAAAGTTGTAATGTAGTTATTTCCATGTAAAATATGTAAAATATTATTGGAAATTTTTCATACCACAGTTGTCTTTATTAAGTAAAACCCCCTATATATTCTGGGTATGTTGAATCAAGTAGAAATCTGTTCAGATTGACAGATCCATTTCAAAGTAATACATGTATGTATTTAGAGGTGCCAATGATATACATATGCATGGAATGGACTATCTAAAGGTATCTATTTTTTAAAAGTATTAGTGTTTCAAACTACTAATTTTTTTTATTGGCTACTTGTGTCTGGAAAGATTCTTTAGTTTGTAATGTATGAGAGAGTTTAAAACTTTTTGAAAGCTTTAAAAACCAAATTATGTTTGAATCATATCCCAGATGTTTAAATGACCTTTAGAGTACATATATTAGAATTTGGTATACTTAATAGTTTAAGATATCCTCCCATGGAGAATGTGAGATATAGACAAGAGGTGTTTCACAAGAACGGAAAGACAATCATTGAAAAGGTTCATCTGGTTTCTTCTATGCTGTGAGACACCACTTTGAATGTAGTTCAAATTGCCAATTAACACTTGTCTGTGTCAATGGGGATAATGGTATTGTAAGGATGTCAGTGATTGTTTCTCTGTTGATCAGTAATGGTGTTGTATGCTGCCATTTTCAATGAAAAATAAAGTGGTATTTGACTTTGATGTGTTTCATTTGGCACAGTGGACATTGATTTGAAGCAAATGCTATCATTCTCTTTGAAAATAGCCATAGGTTCTTCATATATGATATGGAGTTCTTCTAAGAAGTATCTTATCCACATGACTTCACCAGCAACTTCTGAACATGCCACAGTAGTCTGTTTTCTGGATGACCAAGATAGAAGTCCCAATCCAAAAACATTATGTATCCTCCCTTCAATTGCCTATCCTCAGTATCCCATGAGTTTTTGCATATGGCTGTGTCGGCACTGTTGGACATGTTGGGCTTTGAGAGATCACTGTAGGATGATTTACATAGGTTGATGGTGTTACGACCGTGTCGCAACCCTATCGGCCCCGAGGTTATCGCCACTTGTCAACGTTTCAAGTCGTCCCCTCGGAAACCATCGGCCCCGAAGCTGACGAATGTTTCGCGAAGATCAAACTCCATTTACGCCCACGTCAAATAACTCGTATTGTCTGGTCAAACTTTGATACGTCCCCTTTATTATGTTGATCCGTTCAATCTTATGTTTCGCATATGTCTATCTATATTTGTAGTCCTCGAACCATTTCCTTTTATCGTAATTCCGCTCTCGGTTATCATCGGCCTCCGAACTAATCATAAACTTCCCGTTCCTAGTCAAGCTTATTGTTAATACCGTGTTCCGCCCTTCTCCCCATTAGTATTTTCCAGACGCCTGTTACTTGTATATGAACCCGCTGTAATTGTAGTTACTAGACAATCAGAATATCGACTCAGAATACCCTCATACACCTGTATCAGTCTCATACTAAGACTTCCCCCATCCGCCTTC